CTTTATTTTATAGGATTTTTACTTTACTTAGTAATATTTGGCCGCTGTAAGGAGTGTCCATTTGCCTGACTCTTTTTTTGTTTGCAGGCCCCTCGTTGGGCGCCACTTTGCCAGGACCAGCTTGGCATGAACACGTTTTTCTGAGTGGGGAAGGCTGTGGGTTAGAAATAGACACAATAACAATAAATGTTAGGTTTGGTTTGGGAACGGCAGTGAAGTCAGAGGCGGCAAAGGTGAAAATACCAGAGCCAGGCCATGGGGTTGAATAAAACCAGCATAATTTATTCTGCGCTCTGGCTGAGGGAGTCACGCCCAGGGTGGGTGCTGCTCGTTCTTGAAGGGCTGTTGTCCAATAGGTGGTCACCACGTGTCTTTGTCTGGCCAATGAGGTTCGCTGTTTCTGCTCAACTTTGGCGGGGCACGAAATGCTGAAGGGCGGGAAAGTCCGTTGGTGATGGCGGGCCAGGTGTGGGCAACAGGGAAGTTCTGCTGGCGGGAATGTTTCTTTTCCCTTCCCCCAGACCTTACAATAAAGACACACAAGTCCAGAAAAGCGAGGATTGGGTGGGCACAGAAAGAAGGTGTGACCAGAACCAGCCTCAGGTTTATTCTTTTATAGGGCAGAAAATAGGGGAAGGGGAAAATGGGGTGCAAGAGGAATGGGGAAGGAGGAAGTGGAATATAAAGAGAATAAAGGAGGAGAAATTGGAATGCAAAGCAGTTGTTTTTGGATGTAAATTGTCTGAAGATGTGAAAATGACTGGCGCCCTGTAATTGCTCTGATCTTTTTGGGGGACAATCTGATAAACGCATATGACTTCTTTTAGCCCAATACTGCTCAGTATCAGGATATTGGGTACCAACAACAACAGGAAGACAACCATTGACAACAGGCAGATACTGCGTTCGTATGTAAATACTTTGTAATAGCCCTGCTAGAGTAGCTTATAAAAGCGCATTTCTCTGTGTGTCTACAGGCCACATTTTTTTTTTAAGAGTTTTTTGCTACAGGGCGTGTGCGCTCACCAGACAGACAGAGACAGACAGAAAGCAAAAAATCACCCCCCAGGAGAGATGGCCATGCTGCAATCCCTTCTCCTCCGTTCTCCTCTCGGGATCTTGGGCACGCACGCACACGTGCCCAGCGTGAGTTTTAAGCCACCAGGTCCAGGACGCGAACCGCTGTCGACTACGTGGGAGTCCAGCAACATAGCCATTACGCTAACTGCTGGTCCCCAGGCCACGTGTTTTAACCACATGTTTTCAACTTAACTGCTCTCCACACAAGAGAGCAAGCGCGAGCAGCTCTGGGGCTCCCAGGCCTGCAGAGGCCAGGGCGCTGTGGGCTGCCTGCCGTTTGCTGCCAGAGGGAAAACAGAAGCGGGCTTGGAGGGAGGGGATGTCCTCCACGTGGGGACCTGCTAGGTTAGTGAGACGTCTCCAGGGCAGTTAGATGGAACAGTCCAGGAAGCAGTCGGGTGCATGGCTGGAGGCTCAGGGCAGAGGGGAGAAGTGGGATGACGGTTGGGAAGCCATCAGCACGCCCAATTCAAAGCCGCGAGAGTAAATGAGGTCCCTCTCCCTCTGAAGCAGCCGTAGGTAACCACCTACATTTTAGAGATGCAGAAGGGAAGAGGATCCCACGGGAGACAAATAAGGAACAGTGATCAGAGAGGCGGGAACCAGGAATAAGTGCTACAGAGAGCGAGGGGGCAGGTGTCAGGAGCAGGGGTGGGCCGCAGGGTCAGGGGCCAAGTAGATGCTGGCCTGTGTGGTGACCTCGCCACCTGGCGCTCAGATGGCTGCTGGTGACCACAGCAGGGGCAGCGTCAGCGGGCAGGGGGACAGAAAGCAGCCTGCCCCAGTTGAGCGGTGTGTGGGAGGAGAGGACGGACGTGGGGACGGCGCACCCGCCGAGAGGTGAGATCGGCAGATGGCTAGGGAGCAGCTTAATGCCAGGAAGAACCCACGCCCCCCGGATTTGAGAATGTTTCTTGGGTGAAAGGAAAAGGTGGGTAGAGAATAAGAGACCAAGAGACTGAGATGCAGAGGAGAGAGATGGCTGAGAGAGCATCACTGGGGAGAGAAGGCCAAGGAGACCCTGAGGAAGAGGCTTCATTTAAACGAGAGGAAACAGTCCTCAGAGACTGGGACACGTGAGCAACTTCTCAAACGCTTTCGAATTTTGGCTCTGCCTTTTTTTTTTTTTTTTTTTTTTTTTTTTTGAGAGGTTTTTTTGCTATAGGGCATGCGCTTGCCATAAAGAGACAGTCAGAAAGCGAGAAATCATCCCCTGGGGGGATGACCACACCGCAATCCTTTCTCCTCCATTCTCCTCTCAGGATCTTGGGCATACACGCACACGCACCCAGCGCAAGTTTAAGCCACCAGGTCCGGAACTTGAACTGTGGTCGACTACATGGGAGTCCAGTGACATAGCCATTACGCCAACTGCTGGTCCCGGCTCTGCCACTTTTAGCTGTTGACATTGGGCAAGTAATTTAACATCTCTTATATTCAGTTTTCTTAGCAGTGACACAGAATCCTCAGAGACTGGGGACACGTGAGCAACTTCGCAAATGCTTTCGAATTTTGGCTCTGCCACTTTTAGCTGTTACATTGGGTACGTAACTTAGCATCTCCTATATTCAGTTTTCTTAGCGGTGACACAGAATACACGAGCCTCACTCCTAGCACAGGTTTGTGTTCGGATTCGATTCAACTGTTCATTTAAGGTGCTTAGCACGGGCCAGCCAGGGAGTCATAGCTAAGGCTGCTGGCTCCCACAGCTGACCGCCCGGCCCCAGTGCCAGACCCAGTGGCTGAGAATGCGCCAGGTGCGAGTGTGTGCATGCCCACACCCCACGGGAGGGAGCAGTGGAGGGGGCATGCGGCATGCCATGCCATCCTCCCTGGGGACTGCTTTCTCACTCCCCGCCCCATCTCTCTCCAGTGAGTGCACGTGCCCTCTGACAAATTATTAAAATTTAGAACTATTTTATGTTTATCGTAGAAAACTAGAATTATAATGAAGGAAGGAAAACAAAAAGACAAAAACAACAAAAAATAATCACCCATAACGGCACGGTCAGATGGTAATATTGATACCTCAGCGTGTGCCCTTCGGTCAGGGTCTGAAAATGTGAAAGACACTTAGGCATCCCCTTCAGTAAAGCAGATTGGGATCACACCACGGACAGAGTTGTTGTGGGGTTTTTTTTGAGAGGTTTTTTCCATAGGGCTCGTGCGCTCGCCAGACAGACCGAGACAGAGAGACAGAAAGTGAGAAATCCCCCGCCCAGGGGGTACAGCCACGCCGCAATCCCGTCTCCTCCATTCTCCTCTTGGGATCTTGGGCACGCACGCACACACGCCCGGCGTGAGTTTTAAGCCACCAGGTCCGGGACACGAACCGCGGTGGACTACGTGGGAGTCCAGCGACATAGCCATTACGCTAACTGCTGGTCCCACATAGATGGAGTTTTCTATTGTGCTCTTTTCTCCTCTACCATTTCTCCAAAACCATTTTTTTTTTTTCCTTTTTTAGAGATTTTTGCTAGAGTGCCTACACTCGCCAGAGAGCGAGAAATCACCCCCCGGGGGGGATCACCACGCTGCAATCTCTTCTCCTCCATTCTCTCAGGATTGTGAGCATGCATGCACACGCACCTGGCATGAGTTTTAAGCCGCTGGGTCTGGGACTTGAACCATGGTAGGCTACATGGGAGTCCTGTGATGTAACTGCTACAGCATTTGCTGGTCCCCCAAACCTTCTATTTTTCAAGAATGTGACTTTTAGGGCTGGCAGGTGCCATGGTGGTTAAGGTGTTGGACTCCCATATGGCTGACTGTGGTTTGAGTCCTGGATCTGTTAGCTTGTACTATCTCTCTCTCTCTCTCTCTGGTCTAATTGAAGAATAATAATTAATAAAGTTAAATAAAATCATTATTAAAATAAAAAAAGAATGTGACTCTTTAATAGCTGCCAAGGAGTCTAGGCATACGAATATTGCATGGTAACAGTGCCCGGGACACTCAGGCCACGTCTGCATCTTCAGTCTTCCTAACCGTGTAGCAGTGGTAACTCTGTTCTGTACTGACGGCTTCTTGGTGCCTACCCACAGGCGCTGGATATGTAGGTGAGGCCCAGAGAAGTCAGTGGCCTGCCCAAAGCCACACAGCAGGTGAGGGGTGGGTCCTGGCCATTGAACACGATGCTGGCTGCCTCTCCCGGTGCTGAGACAGAAGCAGTGGTGCTGCCCAGCCAGGGGATGCTCGGGGCAGTCTTAGTGCCCCCACCTGGGACGAACTGCCCTCTGCCCCGACACAGCAGCAAACTGCCTGCCCGTGCCCTGCCTCTGCCCTCCTTGGGATGGGGGTGAGTCCAAGCCGAGTTCCAGGACCGAGGGGAGATGCCTCGGAGCTGCAGGGCTGTGGGGAGGACAGGGGGCCTAGCAGGTGGGGGTCCCCAAGGGGCATAGGAGATGCACATGGCAAGGCCTCGTCTCTGCGGACCCCGCACCATGTTCTTGGCCCCTTCCAGAAAATCTATGCTCCCCCATAGACAGTTCAAACTCACTCTCTCTTAGAGGGAGTGCGGTGGTGGGGTGAGACGGGAGGGCAGAGCAGCCCACACCAGAAGTGGCATAGGCATCCCGCTCTGGCTGGTCATGCCACTGCCCGGGATCACTAAGCTTTTTTTATTTGGAGAGATTTTTGCTATAGGGCACGCGTGCTCGCCAGAGAAATGGGAGAAAGAGAAAGTGAGAAATCACCCCCCAGGGGGATGGCCACGCTGTAATACCTCCTCCATTCTCCTCTCAGGATCTTGGGCACGCATGAACACATGCCTGGGCTGTTTCAGGCCTCTGGGTCTAGGACTCTAACCGCGATCTCTGCCATGTGGGAGTCCAGTGCCTTAACCACACCAACTGCTGGTCCTGATCACTGAGCTTTTACTGCTCCCTTCAGCTCTGACCTCTTGGTGCTCTTCCCTACAGGCGACCATCGGGATCGACTTCTTATCAAAGACCATGTACTTGGAGGACCGCACGGTGAGCCCCTGATTGAGCACGGGGGCGGGGCATCTTCGGGCTGATCCCCTAGGAGCCACTGGGCACCGAGAGCCCTGGTCCACGCCGGGGTCAGCGCTAAGGTCCTCTTCCAGCGCGGCCCCCAGCACCTCCCCGCCAGGAGGACCGCACGCCCCCTGAGCCCTCTGCTCCGGCCCCTCCCTGTGACAGGTGCGACTGCAGCTCTGGGACACAGCCGGCCAGGAGAGGTTCCGCAGCCTGATCCCCAGCTACATCCGGGACTCCACGGTGGCCGTGGTGGTGTACGACATCACGAGTGAGTGTGAGGAAGGGTGGCTGGCGGGGCTCTGGGGCCCGGCGTATCCACAGCCAGGCCTGTGTATGTGTGCACATGTGCATGCATGCGTGTGTGTGTGCGTGCATGTGTGCACTGTGTATGTGTGTGTGTACGCATGTGTATGGGCATGTGCGTGCTTGTCCCTGAGTGCAGGAAGCTTGGGGGTCAGGGTTGAGTTGCCTCTGAACCCCATTGTGATGGGTATGGGTGGACAGGGCCTGCCAGGCAGGGGCTGGAGTGGGGTGAGCAGAGCTCACACACTGGCCCTGCTGCAGCCCCTCTGCCCCTCCCTCCCCCTGGCTGCCAGAAAGACCCCTAGGAGTGACTTCTGTTTGTGAGTGTCCTCACCCAGCTGCTCGGCTTGTCTGCCAGCATTCCAGCTCCTCAGGGGGACATAGGAGGGGAGGCGGGGTCCGGGGAGCACCGCGGGCTGGCAGCCTGCATGTCCGCACACTGCAGGGCAGGCGTCATACATGCTCACCAGAGAGACACAAGACAGAAGGAGAGGGAGAGAGCGGCCCGGGGGCACGGTCACACTGCAGTCCCCACTCTCCCATGTCTGGATTTGGGACATGCACACCCTGGGGGCCAGGATTTGAACTGCCGTCAGTTGTGTGGGATCAGCTCCCTTAACGTCTAGGCTGCAGGGCGGCCCCAAAGCGGGTGTTCTTGAAAGGACTGCGTAACCTCAGGAATGGCCATGGGACTGGGGTGGTGGGGCCAGGGCTGGGGCCGCGTTCAGGTGCAGGGGAGCACACCTGAAAGCCCCCGGCTGTGGTGACACCAGGAGTGGGAGACACCCTGGGAGCCATCCACAGCCCTGAGATACGCAGAGCCAGCGCCCCAGCCCAGCGCCCCAGCTCTGCCCACCCCACCTGTGTACCTTCTCTGACTGCAGGCTCCCCCTGTGAGGCCACATGACTGCCGTCCTCTGCAAGACCTGCAGGTCTTCCGAGGAAGATGAGGCTGCCCAGCATGGCCTTGTCTCTCCTGGAGTTCCGAGTGCCCCTGGGCACCCGTATCGGGCCCCAGGCCCCTTCCCCTCCTCCACCTGCAGAGCCGGAGGGTTCTCTTTAGACACCACCTGGCCATCCCGAAGCTGCCCAGAGCCCACCTGGAGGGAGGCCACTTGGAAGAGCCTCCTTCCTAGCGTTCTGTGGCCTCTGCCCCGCCCACCCCCACCA